ACAATATTGAGTTTCTTGACCCATAAACATCATATTTATTTGAATTTTATTGAGATTAAATTTCCCTCTGTCACCCAGCCTGGAGTGCAGAATGATTTATAATCTGTTGGGTATATACTCAGTAATGGGATTGCTAGGTCAAATGGTATTTCTGATTCTAGATTCTTGAGGAATCACCACACTGTTTTCCACAATGGTTGAACAAATTTACACTTCCACCAACAGTGTAAAAGCGTTCCTATTTCTCCACATCCTCTTCAGCATCTGTTGTTTCCTGACTTGTTAATGATTGCCATTCTAACTGGCATGAGATGATATCTCATTGTGGTTTTGATTTAAATTTCTCTAATGAACAATGATGATGAGCTTTTTTCGTGTTTGTTGGCTGCACAAATGTCTTCTTTTGAGAAGTATCTGTCCATATCCTTCACCCAATTTTGATGGGGTTGTTTGATTTTTTCTTGTAAATTTTTTAAAGTTCTTTGCAGATTCTGTATATTAGCCCTTTGTCAGATGGATAGATTGCAAAAATTTTCTCCCATTCTGTAGGTTGCCTGCTCACTCTGATGATAGTTTCTTTTTCTGTGCAGAAGCTCTTTAGTTTAATTAGATCACATTCGTCAATTTTGGCTTTTGTTGCCATTGCTTTTGTTGTTTTAGTCATAAAGTCTTTGCCCATGCCTAGGTCCTGAATGGTAGCACCTAGGTTTTCTTCTAGGGTTTTATGGTTCCAGGTCTTACGTTTAAATCTTTAATCCATCTTGAGTTAATTTTTTTATAAAGTGTAAGGAGGGGATCCAGTTTCAGCTTTCTACATATGGCTAGCCAATTTTCCCAACACCATTTGTTAAATAGGGAATCCTTTCCCCATTGCTTGTTTTTATTGGGTTTGTTAAAGATCAGATTATTGTAGATGAGTGGTATTATTATTGAGGCCTCTGTTCTGTTCCATTAGTCTATATCTCTGTTTTGTTACCATACCATGCTGTTTTTGTTACTGTAGACTTGCAGTATAGTTTGAAGTCAGGTAGTGTGATGACTCCAGCTTTGTTCTTTTTGCTTAGAATTGTCTTGGCTAAGCAGGCTCATTTTTGGTTCCATATGAAATTTAAAGCAGCTTTTTTCCAATTCTGTGAAGAAGGTCAATGGTAGCTTGATGAGGATAGCACTGAATCTGTAAATTAAGTTGGGCATTATGGCCATTTTCATGATGTTTGTTTTTCCTATCTGTTAGCATGGGATGTTTTTCCATTTGTTTGTGTCCTCTCTTATTTCCTTGAGCAGTGGTTTGTAATTCTCTTTGAAGAGGTCCTACACATCCCTTGTAAGTTGTATTCCTAGGTATTTTACTCTCTTTGTAGCAATTGTGAATGGGAGTTCACCCATGATTAGGCTCTCTGTCTGTTATTGGTGTATAGGAATACTTGTGATTTTGCACATTGATCTTGTATCCTGAGACTGCTGAAGTTGCTTATCAGCTTAAGGAGATTTGCAGCTGAGATGATGGGTTTTCTAAATATCTAATCATGTCATCTGCAAACAGAGGCAATTTGACTTCCTCTCTCTTCCTATTTGAATACTTTTCATTTCTTTCTCTTACCTGATTCTCCTGGCCAGAACTTCCAATACTATGTTGAATAGGAGTGGTGAGAGAGAGCATTATTGTCTTGTGCCAGTTTTGAAAGGGAATGCTTCCAGTTTTTGCCCATTCTGTATGATATTGGCTGTGGTTTGTCATAAATAGTTCTTATTATTTTGAGATATGTTTCATGAATACCTAATTTGTTGAGAGTTTTTAGCATGAAGGCTGTTGAATTTTGTCAAAGGTCTTTTCTGCATCTATTGAGATAATCATGTGGTTTTTGTCATTGGTTGTTTATGTGATTAATTACGTTTACTGATTTTCGTATGTTGAACCAGCCTTACATCCCAGGAATGAAGCCTACTTGATGGTGGTGGACAAGCTTCTTGTTGTGTTGCTAAGACAAAGTCTCTGTTGCCCAGGCTGGAGTTCAGTGGCACAATCTCAGCTCATTGCAACCTCTGCCTACCGGTTCAAGCAATTCTCCCACCCTAGCCTCCCGAGTAGCTGGAATTACAGGCACTCGCCATCATACCAGGCTAAATTTTTTATTTTTGGTAGAGATGGGATTTCACCATGTTGGCCAGGCTGGTCTTGAACTCCTGACTTCAGGTGATCTGCTTGCCTTGGCCTCCAAAACTGTTTTGATTACAAGCTTGAACCACCATGCCCAGCCATCTTGCTGGACTCTTAAGTCTATATCTCCTTAACTCAAGATGTCTAACAGGTTCTGCCTAGCATACCCCTCCTGGCACCAAGACCAGAAAACTGTCAAGGTAGTAAGCTGGGGACATTTTATGGCTCAATTCATTTATTTCCCATATCTGAGTGATAACTATCTTTTGTTGTCTAAAGTCTAGGGTTTTGGAAAACATTATTCCATATATGTTATCTGGGTATTTTTGGTTGTTTCAATGAGAGGGTAAATCTTATCCCTGTTGCTCTATCTTGGCTATTTTGTTGTTTCAAGAATAAGGGTAAATCCAATCCCTGTTGCTTCATCTTGGCTAGAAACAAGTTATTTTTTCTTTATTGTTGTTTGGTGTTCTCTTGTATAAATATACGATAATTTATTTCCCCATTCTCTTACTGATGGACTTTTGGGCTATTTACAGTTATAAATGAAACTACTATGAACATTATTATCTATGTGTTTTGGTGGATATATGTCCGTATTTATCTTGGGTAATACTTGGGAATATAGTAGCCAGATCATAGAATACGCAATGTTTAGCTTTAAGATACACTGACAGTTTTTCAAAGTGGTTTAGTGTTTAAACTCTTACCAGCAGTGTATGAAAGTTCCAATTACTCCCTATCCTCACCAACAGTTGGTAGTATTTTTCATTTTAGCCATTCTGGTAGTGTCACACTGAGATTTTAATCTGTATTTACCTAAGGACTAATGATTCTGATTGACTACTTTTTCATATGCTTGTCAGCCATTTGGATGTCCTCTCATATGAACTGTCTGTTTAAGCCATTTAAATTGAATGACTTAACTTTTTCTTAATGATCTGTAGGTGTTCTTTACATATTCTGAATAAAAATATTTTATCAAATATATTGTAAATGTCTTTACCCTGTCCATGGTTTATCTTTTCACTGTTTTGATGATGTTTCAATTTTTAAACAACCACAGCTCTAATGTAGTACAATTCTTTTATGGTTACTGATTTTTGTGTCTTGTTTAAGAAACCTTTGCCTACCTCAAATTATGAAGCTATTCTCACATTTTCCCCTAGAAGAAATTACTGTTTTTTCCTTTTTTCTTATTGAATCCAGCAGCAATAATTTGAGTTTTATGTAATATAAATTGTTTTTCCCTTCTATAGACTTTCTGTTCAATATCCAACTGCAAGACATTGTGAAGGGGCAATCCGAAGTGACTGGTTGCACATCCTACTGCATTAATTGTGCCTGTAACCCATCACGAGATCCTCTGCTGTTTGCATTGTGACTTGCTTATCAGTTAGCAAGACAGATATTTTCCCTCACCCTTACTTCATTCTGCAGTATCTCTGTTCTCTTAGAGTTTCTATAAATAACAAGTTAAAAAGCAATTCCCCTTGGCTGGTGGCCTTAACAATGAGTTTTTTTCCCTTCTTCTAGTTTTCATTGTTTCTAAATTCCTTATGATAAACCTAAGTATTTTTAATTTAAAAAGTTAACTTAAAAAAGTTTGAGCAGTTGTGGTTAAGGTGTATATATGGTTTTTCATACACGGAGCTAAAAAATACAACGTCTCACAATCTTTCCTGCATAGAGTATGTTGACCATACACATTATGACTTGTAAAACAACTTGTTCATGGAGTGTCTGCTGGGCAGACAGTAGAACAGTTTCATTAATTTTAAAGCATTCTACAGTCTACGTATTTTCCCTTGCTAATAACTTATTGTTTTATTAAAGTCTTGCTCAAATTTTTTCCTACTCTTGGTTGCACTTTAACCACAAATGAAGCCACAGAAAGTTTTGAAAATATAGTCATTTGCCAAGTATCTTTAATTAATTACCAGGAATGAAAGTTGAACAGTTCTTTGTGATACTGTTCATATTGCAGGAACATGAGGACGACTTCTGGGCAGAAACATCTGGAAAGAGCTACTTAAACTCTGCACTGGGGTCCTCTTTTCCTGAATTGTTATGGGACAGTTTTTGCAGAGATGTATCAAGTCACCCAAGCAGCATTTGGAAATGCATAGTTTACTTGACAGCATTTACAAATTATGTCTTTTCCTCAGAATAACTTACACTGTACAAATGCTTCCATATGCTAAAGTTGGACACACCATTGTATTGAGAAAAAAAAGAGATGTCTTTTAGTAGCAGTTTTCATATACATACTAAACTACAGTGTACACAAATTAATAATGTCGTCCCTTAAGAATTTACCATAAATGGTTTCTAACTCTTTATGCCCCAGCTCTCTGCTAAAGATTGGGAGTAGATATTGCCACAAAACAATAGGTCAGCAAAAATTCAATTATGATTTATCTAAGTAATGAAAACAATTTGATCACGATCCTAAGTCTTATGCTTTGATGAAAAAAATACTTTTTCCCCAAATCTTCTGTGTTCCTTAAAGTCCCAGAAGCAGATAATTTCCAACTTCAAATTCCAAAACATATATACCTGCAGTTAACGCCTTTCTATCCTGACTTTAGAGCAAGAATTGGCAAACTGTGTCCCATGGGCCAAATCTAGCTCACCACCTGTTTTTGTAAATAAAGTTTTATTGGAACACAGCCTATTCACTTACACATTGTCTATGGCTGCCTTTGTGCTGCAAAAGCAGAGTTGAAGAAATGTGACAGACTTTATAGCCCAGGAAGCCTAAAATATTCACAACAACCCTTTATTTAAAAACATGTTGACTCCTGTTTTAATCAGCATTTCTTCATTTCACATCTTGCAGGAATAAATGGATGCTACTACTGTTAGCACTGCTTCTGCTGCCAAGTTTTTGAGCACATAACCAGGATGACAGCCACAGTTCCACAAAGCTCTGATAAACCATCAAAAAGAAACCTACCACTAAGGAAAGTAGTGATTCCCTTCCTGTCTTAAGTAAATGGCAATGACCTTGGCAGCCAATATGATAAATATACATATTTATTATATTCAAAAACTATTCTAAAATGTATATTCTCTCTATAACATGATTCTGAGAAAAAGTTTAATCTATCTTTCTACTACAAAGTTCTTAGTGATATTTTGACAACGAGGTGCCATATCCCAAGATGTGATACTTTTTGCTCAGTTCTTGAATTAAACATTCTAGAATAACTTATAGAGTGATATCAGCATGATGGCCAATCAGAGTTGCCTAACACAAAAAGGTACCAAAACGATAAGCTATACTTTGACTGGAGTTATTAATGAAGTATACTGGAAAGCACCAGGGGAGCAACAAAATTTCTATAGAGCACAGAAGCCCAGGATAGCACCACAGAGAGGGAAGTGAGACATCCTCCCTCTGCCATATGGTATCCCCCACCAGGATCAGTTCAGAGCCAGGGAAACTTCTTCCCACAGGGAAAAAAGTAAGCTGGAGTTCTTTGTCCTTATCACCTTATTCACATGAACAGTCACTGCTACAAAAGGGTCTCCTAGTCCTCATAGGAACAGACCCAGTGTGGACAGTTACTGGGAGTTCATGTGGCTATAGTGCCCCAGAGCAGGAACCACTTTGGCACTTCAATCCCCATGGCCTAAGCTGCTACAGTATGGTGCCACCTTGAAACTTGACCCACAGCTGGAGTGCATCTTGTGTTGGGCGTCAGTAGCCACCAATCCCCTCCATCTCTGAGGTTCCACCGTCATTCTACCACATTCATAAGAGTGTATGCAGCACCAATACCCCAGCTTCCCAGAGCCTAGGCCCAAAGGAACAACCGAGACCACAGCATCTGAATTCATGAGGTACCCTATTCCCCAGGGAAACAAGCAAACCTTCACAGTGGGGAAGCCCTGTGAAGTCACCCAGCTCATGTGTTCTCACACCCATCATAACAGGTAGCCTGAAAGTGGTTCTACCCCACTGGTGAGATCCTGGCACAGCTGCTAGCCCCCTCTGGTCCAATAGCTGGCCTAGAGATGTCTCACCTCCCTCTCCCCACAGACAGAGCACCACATCACCACTCAGCCTCACTCCACCCCCCACACCTTTGGCCTGACACCCTGACTGGAGGTGGCCCAGAAAGAGCCCCATGCAGCCACACAGCACACCACACCACAATTCAACAGCCAGTGAAGCAGTGGCTCTACCTTCCTGGAAAGCCCACTAAACAGCCTGCTGGCCCACCACACTCACACATGCTTAGCCTGACAACCAACCTGGCACCTCTACCACCAGCAAACCTGCACCACTGCCATCACAAACTCCTGCAGCCTGGGCCATTGAGACAATTGCAGACATCACAGATGAGGATTGCAGTTGAAGAATCTGTACAGAGACCATGTTACTGAGTCCACCCATAACCAGAGTCAACATACCATTCCTGACCAACACCCCAGGATCCATCTACAAAAAAAAGGCTCTTCCTATGAAAGCTAATCCATAAAATTACAAAAATGACTGTTTTACTATATGCACAGACATCAACATAGGGATATAGGAAACATGAAAAAAGCAAAGAAATATTATACCCCTTGGGAGGCCCGAGGTGGGTGGATCATGAGGTCAAGAGATCGAGACCACCCTGGTCAACATGGTGAAACCCCATCTCTACTAAAAATACAAAAAAATTAGCTGGGCATGGTGGCGTGTGCCTGTAGTCCCAGCTACTCGGGAGGCTAAGGCAGGAGAATTGCTTGAACCCAAGAGGCAGAGGTTGCAGTGAGCCAAGATCGCGCCATTGCACTCCAGCCTGGGTAACAAGAGCAAAACTCCGTCTCAAAAAGAAAAAAAGAAAAAAAAAAGAAAGAAAAAGAAATATTATACCCCTAAAGGAGCATAATAAATCTTCATTAATTGACTCCAAAGAAAAGGATATTTATGAAATGCCCAAAAAGCAATTCAAAATAATGATCTTAAGGAAACTCAGTAAGATATAAAAGAATACAGACAAGCAAGTCAATGAAATCAGGAAAACAATTCATGAGCCGAATTAGAAATTCAATAGATGGGTACATATAAAAGAAGCAAACAAATTTTAAAGCTAATGAATTCAATGAATGAATTAAAAAATACAATTAAAATTCTTCAACAAAGACAAGATCAAACAAGAGCTTCCACAACAGACTAGATCAAACAGAAGAAATAATTTCTGAACTTGAAGGCAAGCCTTTTGAAATAATCCAATCAGAAAGGAAAAAAGAAATAAGAATTAAAAAGAACAAAGAAAGCACATGAGACCTATGGAACACCATTACGGGAACAAATACTTTCATTATAGGACTTCAGAAGGAGAAGAAATGGAGAAAGGCACAGGAAATCTATTTATAACAACAACAAAACTTCCTAAGTCTTGGGAGAGATACAGACGTCTAGATTCAGGAATGTCAAAGGTCCTTAGTGAGATTCAACCCCCCCAAAAAAAACCTCTCTGAGGCACATTATAAACGAATTGCCAAAAGTCAAAGACACAGAATTCTAAAAGCTTCAAGAGAAAAACAGCAAGTTACATCTAAGAGTATCTCTGTTAGACTACCAGCAAAAATTTTTAGCAGAAACCTTACAGGCCAGGAGAAAATTGGATAATATATTCAAAGTGCTGAAAGAATAAAAAGCTGTTAATCAAGAAAGAATACTGTTTCTAGCAAAGCTGTTTTTCAGAAATGAAGAAGAAATAAAAACCTTCCCAGACAAGCAAAAACTGAGAGAATTCATCACTACTATACTAGCCTTACAAGAAATGCTTATGGAATTGCTACAGCTGGAAACAGAAAGACAATAATTACTATCATGAAAACATGTGAAAATATAAAACCAGTCTAGGTAAATCCATAAACATACTCTGAATACCCTAGTGTTGTAATGGTATTATGTAAATCTTTCAATTCTCTAGTATGAAGGTTTAAAGCCAAAAAGCAAAAAAAAATCAACTACAAATAGTGGCTGAGGAACATACAAAAGATACAGATGTAAGGCAACCAAAGCACAAATTGGGGGTGGAGAAAAAATGTAAAGTACTTTAATGCAACTAAAGTTAAGTTGTTATCAGCTTGAAATTGTCTATTAGAACTATAAGACTGCTTATGTTAGCCCCATGGTAACCACAAAGAAAGAAATTTTACAACAGATACACAAATAAACACGAGAAAAGAAACAAAGCTTAGCCCCACAGAAAACCACTAAACCATACATGTAAACAAGTGAGGAAGAAAGAAACAAAGGATCTGCAAAATAACCAGGAAACAATTAACAGAATGGCAGAAAATCTTACCTGTCAATAATAGGCTTGAATGTAAATGGATTAAATGCTCTAATTTTAAAAAACAGAGTGGCTGAATGGATATAAAAAAAAAAAAGATCCAACTATATGCTGCCTGAAAGAAAGTCACCTTGCCATTAAAGACAAACACAGACTGAAAGTGAAGAGGTAGAAAAACCTACTCTATGCAAATGGAAACCAAAGGCAGGCAGGAGCAGCCATTCTTACATCAGATTAAACAGACTTTAAATGCAAAACTGTAAAAAGAAGGTCATTATGTAATGATAAAGGGATCACTTCCATAAAAGGATATAATAATTATAAAAATGTATGCATCCAATACGGGAGCATCAAAATATATAAAGCAAATATTATTATATCAGTATTAGAGATAGACTGCAATACAATAGTAGAAGGGGACTTCAACACCCCACTTTCAACAACAGACAGATCACCTAGGCAGACAGACAACCAACAAAGAAAAGTTGGACTTATACTGTATGATAGACCAAACAGACCTAACAGATAATTATGGAACATTCCATCCAAGAGATGCAGAATACATGTTCTTCTCAATTGCTCATGGAACATTCCCCAGGTTAGATCATAAGTCAGGCCACAAAACAAGTCTTTACAAATTTAAAAAAATAATGTAACATGTATATATTCATACCATGATGGTGTGTAACTAGAAATCAACAAGAAAAGCTTTGGAAATCTTACAAATACATGGACATTAAACAGCATGCTCCTAAATAATCAATAGGTCGATGAAGAAATTAAAAAGGAAATTTTAAAATTCCTTAAGACAAGCAAGAATGGTTAATAGGTTTTTCTGGTGCTTTTCTCTATTACCTCCTGTAACTCCTACCTCAAAAAAGAAAAAAGATTTCTAATAAATAATCTAACCATGAATCTCAAGAACGAACTAAACCCAAAATTGGTAGAAGGAAGGAAATAATAAAGCTCAGACTAGAAATTAAAAAAAAAAGGAACTAAAAAAAAATTTTAAAGATCAATAAAATAAAAAGTTTATGTTTTGAAAAGCAAACAGAATTGACAAACCTTAGGTACGCTAAGGAAAAAAGAGAAAAGACTAAAATAAAATCAGCCATCAAAAAGGAGATATGACAACTGATAACACAGAGACTATTATGAAAAACCATATACCAATAAATTTGAGAACACAGAAGAGATGGATAAAGTCCTGGACATATACAAGCTACCAAGATTAAATTATGAAAAAATAGGAAATTTGAAGAGATCAATAGCATACAAGGAAGTTGAATCAGTAATAAAAAGTATTTCATCAAAATAAAGCCCAGGACCAGATGGCTTCAGTGCTGCATTCTACAAAAAATTTGAAGAAGAACCAATACCAATTCTCTTCAAACTATTCCAGAAAATTGAAGAAGGGGAAACACTTCCAAACTCATTTTACAAGACCGGCATTATCCTGATTTCAAAACCAGACAGGGATACAACAAAAGAAGAAAACTATGGGCCAATATCCCTGATGAACATAGATGTAAAAATTCTCAAAAAGACACTAGCAAACTGAGTTCAATAGCATATTATGAAGATTATTCACTAAGATCAAGTAGGATTCATCCCAGGGATGGAAGGATAGTTCAATATATGCAAATCAATACATGTGACACACTACATGAACAAAAAGAAAGACAAAACTGTATGATCATTTCAAAACATGCAGAAAAAGCAACTGACAAAATTCAACATTCCTTCATGATAAAAACTGTCAATAAATTAAGTATAGAGGGTATATACCATAACACAATAAAGGTCATATATGACAGAGCCACAGCTAACATTATACTGAAAAATATATACTGAATAGTATAAATTATACTGACATTATACTGAGCAAAGCTTTCACCTTTTCCTCCACGAACAAGAACAAGATAGGGGTGCCCACCTTCACCACCCTAATCAACACTGGAATTCCTGGAAGTCCTAGCCAGAGCAATCAGGCAAGAGAAAGAAATAAAGGGCAACTAAATTGGAAAGAAGGAAATCAAATTGTCCCTGTTTGTAATGACATAATCTTATATACAGAAAACCCTAAAGACTCTACCAAAAAATGCTTAGAATAAACAAATTCGGTAAAGTCAGAGGATACAAAAATCAGTAGCATTTCCATATGCTAATTGCAAACTATCTGAAAAATAAATTAAGAAAATAATTCCATTTACAATAGTACACACACACACAAATAAGATACCTAGGAATGAACTTTAGCAAGGAAGTGAAAGATCTCTGCATTGAAAAATTTAAAAACAATAGAATAATACCCCATCTTCGTAGATTAAAAGGATTAATATTGTTAAAATGGCCATACAAGACAAAGTAATTTACAGATTTAATGCAGTTCTTATCAAAATAATAATCACATTATTCATAGAAATTTTTTTAAATATTCTAAAATTTATATGGAACCACAAAAGACCCCAAATAGCCACAGTAATCCTGAGCAAAAAGAACAAAGCTGGAGGCATCACACTACCTGACTTCAAAATGTACTACACAGCTGTAATAACCAAAGCCGCATGTTACTGGCATAAAACAGATACATAAGCCAATGGAACAGAATAGAGAGCCCAGAAATAAATTCACATACCACCTGACTTTCAACAAAGGTGCCAGGAACACATATTGAGAAAAAGACAATCTCGTCAATAAACAATCTGGGAAAATTATACATCCACCTGAGATGAATAAGACTAGACCCCTACCTACTAAAATCAACTAAACGTGGATTAAAGATTCAAATATAAAACCCCAAATTATGAAACTACTAGAATAAAATATAAGAGAAATGCTTTATGACATTGGGCTGGCAAGGATTTTAGAAATAAGACCTCAAAAGCACAGGAAACAAAAGCAAAGATAAACGAATTGAATTACATCAAACTTTGCTTCTGCTACAGCAACGGAAACAGTGAAGTGAGGGAGTGTAAATTTCCACAATAAACTGAAGACACAATATACAGAATGGGAGGAAATGTTTGCAAACTATACATCTCACAGGGGGTTAATATCCAGAATATATAAGAAACTTAAATAACTCAACATCAAAAAAGAAAAAAGCAACTCAACAATCTGATTAAATGGGCAAATGATCTGAACAGACAGACATCAAAAGAAGACATACAAGTGGCCAAAAAATATATGTTGAAATGCTCAACATCACTACTAATCAGGGAAATGCAAACCCAAACCACAGTGAGATACCACCTCCCTCCATTTAGAACAGCTATTATCAAAAAGACAAAAGAAAACAAGTGTTGGTAAGGATGTAGAAAAAAGTGAACACTTATGTACTGTTGGTGGGACTTTAAATTAGTACAGCCACCATGGACAACATTTGGAGGCTCCTTCATAAACTAAAAATAGAATCACCATAGGATACAGCAATCCCACTACTTCATATATATCCAAAGGAAATGAAATAAGAATGTTCGAGAAACATCTGCACTCCTTTGTTTAATTGCAGCGCTATTCACAATGGCCAAGGTATGGATTCAGCCCAAGTGTCCAACAACAAATGAACAGAAAAGAAAACGTGGTATGTATATACACCATGGAAATACCATTTGGCCATTAAAAGAATGAAATCTTGTCATTTGAGATAACATGGATAGACCTGGAGGTTATTATGTTAAGTGAAATAAGCCGGATACAGAAAGACAAATACCACAAATCTCACTGACATGTAGAATCGGGAAGAAAAAAAAAAGAGTTATTATCATAGAAGCAGAAAGGAGAACAGTAGTTACCAGAGACTGAGGAGAAGGGAAAGAAGAGAGCAGAGAATGGGGAGAGGATGGTCAATGGGTACAAGTTACCAAAAACGGGGAATAAGTTCCGGTGTTCTATTACACGGTAGGCTGATGATGGTTCACTGTAAGGTATTATATATGACAAAATAGCTAGAAAAGAGGCTTTTGAAAGTTCTCCCCACAAAAAAAAATGATAAATGCATGAGATGACTGGAATGCTAAATACTGTGATTTGATCATTATATAATACATATGTATTGAAACATCAAATTGTATTCATAAATAGGTACAATTACTGCTTGTCAATTTTAAAAATTGAATAATAAAGTAACTCATAAATCTTTTTTTCCCCATTTCTCAGAGCAAATGCTTAAAGAAAGATGAGAGTGATACTGATTTGGAGACCTTTTGTTTAGGTTAGGCACATATCATTAAGTTTGACTTGAAAAAGTACAAGAGACCCACCAGCAAAGTAAATTGATCATTTATAAAGTATTTTCAGTTGATACTCTATTTGAGCAAAAACGACAAGAGGAACATGGTAAATTGATTCAACTGTTAGGATCAACAACCCGATAATTCTAAACATTAATAAATAATATAACTTAATAATAAAAGTAGGCCGTTGTCCTTTCTGAGTCCTGATATTATGAATAGAGATGATGCAGTGGAGTGAGAGGGGCATGCAAATTTCCAGGTGAATCCAATGAAATGATGCTTAGACCTTGACGAGGTTTTCCATCAGTCAGTTAGCCATTCAACAGGGATTTTACTGAGCACCTCCAACATGCCAAGCTCTATTCCAGGAGCTGGGAATAGGGCCATGAACAAGGCCAGTTCCTACTTTCATGGAGCTGACATCCTAGTGGGAGATACAGTACACTAGAGGTTTATACCTGACCCAGGAAAACAGAGCTGAAACATAAAATAAATATAAGAACACGAAGAACTCCTCCCCAGAAGGGTCATATCCAGCCAAATACATGCACATACTCATTTTTCTTGGTCCCCTTCTGTCCCAAATTTCCCCTATGAAAATCCTCTCTCAGGAAAGGAGCCAACCCCCTTGGTCACACTTAGATACAAATAACTGATCTCTTCTCAGCGGTCTGAATTTCATTCCAGGTAGACAGGAGGAGCTCCTAGGTAGGAGAAAGGGCTTCTAGGGACTTTCTAAGAGTCCTGTCATGCATTGTTTCTAAGGAAACATTGATCAAGTACCTGCTCAGTTGCAGCGCAGCATTAGGCTTGTTCAGGCAATGGTGAATGGTTCATTTACTATAAAACACACAAAGCCTGAAGGGAAGCATATTCAATACTGTCAGTTTGCTTCTTCAAATGCTGTCTACCCTTCTCCACCCAGTCTTATGGCCCAGAAGGCTGGCCTTTGGGGACTACATCAAGGCCGTCTTGTCTTCTGTCTTCTGGTTGGTTTGGCCAAAGGGAGTCACCAACAGGAGATGAGTAATTTTTTTTTTTTTTTTTTTTGAGACAGTCTCCCTCTCTCGCCCAGGCTGGAGTGCAGTGGCAAAATCTCAGCTTACTGCAACATCCGCCTCCCGGGTTCAAGTGATTCTCCTGCCTCAGCCTCCCGAGTAGCTAGGACTACAGGCACATGCCACCATGCCTGGCTAATGTTTTGTATTTTTAGTAGAGATGGGTTTTCACCATGTTGGCCAGGATGGTCTCCAACTCCTGACCTCAGGTGATCCACCTGCCTCGGCCTCCCAAAGTGCTGGGATTACAGGGTGAGCCACCACGCCTGGCCAGAAGGCCAGGTTCTTATTTCCCAGTTCCGTCCCTGCCTGGCCATCATTTGACAGTGGTTGTGCCTCTCTACTGAAGATCATGACTCCTTGTTGGGGGTTCTCTTGCATAGCAACAGCCATAGCTACAGCTGCAGGTCTCTTCCTGTCCTTGACCTTGAAGGTGCCCCAAGAGAGGGTAAATGCTCCCTGCTGATCTCCTCCATTCCCAAGGGGTTCCTTAAGCCCTGCCCATGCCTTTGTAGGGTGTTCTCACTGACCTCTCAACTGTCCATTCTACGGAACACATGTTGCAAAGCTGGCACTGCTCTCAGATCAGAGACCAACTCCAGGCACCAGCTTCATGTTTTAAGCTCCATGATATGGTTCGGATCTGTGTCCCCACCCAAATCTCATGTTGAATTGTAATCTCCAATATTGGAGGCGGGGCCTGGTGGAAGGTGATTGGATCATAGGGATGGTTTCTCATGGTTTAACACCATCCCCCTTGGTGCAGTCATGGCAATAATGAGTTCTCATGAGATCCGGTTGTTTAAAAGTGCATGGCACCTCCGCATTCTCTCTCTTACTTCTTCTCCAGCCATGTGAAGTGCTGCTCCCCCTTTGTCTTCCACCATAATTGTAAGTTTCCTGAGGCCTCCCCAGAAGCCATGCAGATGACCAGCATCATCTGCCTGTACAGCCTGCAGAACTGCGAGCCAATAAAACCTCTTTATAAATTTCACAGTCTCAGGTATCTCCTTATAGCAATGTGGGAACAGAAGAGTACACTCCATATTCTGTAAATGATACTTCCTTTCAGGATTGAGGGTGACTCACCTCCAAATAGAACAAAGTTCACAGCAGTGACCAGAGTGACCCCAGCCCCTCAGGCAGAGAAAGAAAACTCTGGACAGCCCTGGCTTACCTTCCTGTGTTGAGTGGAGGGCTGTGGGCAGACGAACTGGAATCCAAGCAGCAGGAGGGAACCCAGGACACTGAAAGGGAAAAATAGCAACAGGCAGGACGGTGAGTATGTTCCAGGCAGCAGCACCCAGTGGAAGGCAGCATCACCATCTCATCAGTGGAGGGTGGAAAACAGCCCAACCCAAGCCCTGGGACGTGACCCAGTGAAGACACACAGGGACAGCCCCACAGGAGGGAGGCAGCATGGTGCTGTGGCAAGGCATGGCATGGGGCAGATGTGGGATCACAGCCCAGCCTTCCTGCTTACCAGCAGGGGTTGTAGGTCATAGCTTTAACCTCTCTAAGTCTCAGTCTCCTCCCCTGAAAAACTGGGATAACAACAGAAACTGGCTTAGAGGTTTAGGGGAGTAAGATGATGCGCCATGCCTGACAGAGAGAGTGCTAGTGTAGTGTACATGTGGTCCCTCAGGGTAGTAAGGTCAGGAAAAAGTGTGGGCCTGAATCCTTCCAGGGAAGTTCCTCTCCTTACAGCTCATGCTTTCCTGGGAACCATTACTCTGCCTCTTCACGGCCTTTTGATGTCACATATGTTCTCCATGGGTGGGATCAGCTGTGCTAAGCCTCACTGTCACCAGCCCTGATTAGGGCATGTCATCAAATAAAGGGGTGGTGGGGAAATAGGAGCTGGCTGAGAGAGCAGGGTGCGCCGGGCAGGGCATGGAGCCAGGCTAGAATCCCAGCGCCATCATTCCCATCTGGGTGATCTTGGGTCAGTTAGCATTTCCATGCCGCAAACTTTCTCACCTTCTGTGAGGGCTGTAACAGAGGTAAAACACCTGGCATGGTTAGTTAAGTTAAGAAGGTGAGGGAACGAGTAGAGTTGGCCAGGCAAGCTGGAATGTAGTCCCTCTGAGTCAGAAGAAAACCTAGATCTTTCACTCTCTCTCCTGCCCCAAGACCCCTGCATGCTGTTGGAAATGTAACCTCAGATCAAAGGAGAGACAAGTATTATCAATTAATTTAAATGCCCAAAGTCTGGTGATTTCAAATCATCAATGTCATTATTTTAAGCATCCCTGCAATGAGGCTACTATATCTTTTGACCATTTGTCAAACCTTATTTAATGACTTCCAACACAACTGAGAGATGTGAAGACCAAAAAAACCTACTACATCAGGGTGGAGATGAGGAAAACCTACCTGAAGCCAGGGGTTAGGTCTTGTGGAGTTAGATAAGGCTTCTGCCATTTCTGAGAATCCAAAATTCCACCCCAGCTCCTGTTTTGTATGTAAGTGACCCAGCAGACCACACAGAATGGACATGGACAGACTGGTTACAGACTGTGCAATGTGGTGAGACACAGGGAAGACGGTCTCTGTCATATGGTGTTGAAGGCATCCTTTTTGCTATTGTCATGGAGTTGCAGCAGAGGCTCCAGAGCTGAGAACGTGAGTATTAGGTATGCATGCACACAATCCAAAAAGAGTGGCTGCACTCTCTATTCGGACCTACAAAGCAGGTGCCCACCATCCCCTCACCTACCTCCCACCTATATGAATAAGGAGGCTGGAGGATGGAGTTTGCTAGGTGTAAATTTCCCTGAAGATGGATGTAGGAGTGCTGAATACAGCCCCTCCACTCCCCTATGGAAAAGGAAAAGTAGGAGCACTTCTCCAGCCAAGCAAGAGGGACAACATTCAGAACTTGATCCAGACGCCACGGTATCAGGGGGTATAAGGATTGGTGCCTGATTCTCCTCTGAAAAACATATAAAGGCCAAACCCCAGCTAGAGTATCTAGGAGGGAAAAATGGAGAGAAGGCTAGGGTGGGAACAGTCTGTATTTTTAGAGCCTGGAGGGGCCAGAGATGCTTTCCATGCCCATGGAAAGACATGGAACTTAGGTTATCTGGAAAGGACTCCACCAAAGATTTTCACTAGAATGAGACGACCCCCCTCCTGGAAAGTAAAGGTATGGCTTTTACCCGTGGAGTACAGGAGCTGAGGGATGGAGATAGAACTTAAGGAGCAGCCAGATCTGCAGAGCCTGCACCAGGGAATGGTGCAGCAGGAGAGCCCAGTGAGGGGAAATGCTCCAAAGTGCCCCGAGAGAGGAACATCTGGAACTCAGACACCTGCCAACCGAGGACAGCAGCACAAATTACAAGGGACACCAATTCCACTGGGAGCCTCATTGCCAGTTACCTCTCCTCTCCTCTGCTTCACCCTGGAGGAATTCACAATGGCAGTGAGTGGGCAGGGCAGGGAACTAGGTGTGTGAAGAAACCAACCAAGCCCCCTCTTCCTTACTACAGGGGTCTGAGGCTACATCAGGCCCAGCTTGAAGGAGAAAAGAAGCTTTTAATTGGATGAGAGATCAAAACTTTTAGATCTGACTAGACTTTCCCTTTGTTTTTCGTTTTGAGGCAGATTCTTGTTCTGTCGCCCAGGCTGGAGTGCAACGGTATGATCTCGGCTCACTGCCACCTCTGCCTCCCAGGTTCAAGCGATTCTCCTGTCAGCCTCCTGAGTAGCTGGGATTACAGTTGACACCAACATGCCTGGCTAATTTTTACATTTTTAGTGGAGATGGGGTTTCACCATGTTGTCCAGGCTGGTCTCAAACTCCTAACCTCAGGTGATCCACCTGCCTCAGCCTCCCAAAGTGCTGGGATTACAGGCATGAGCCACCATGCACAGCCTAGACTTTCCTTTTAATATACTGTATTTATAACAACATTCTTCCAAGCAAGAGATGTATTCAGAAAAATAATATGAAATTAGTGGTGAGAAGAATAAAGAATTGAATTATAACTTGTTGAGGATCTAGACTAGCACTTTCCAATAGAGTTTTCTATGATGATGGAAACATTCTCTGTCTGTACTGTCCAGTGCACAGATACACAGATGTGTGCTATTCAGGACACAGAAAGCTAATGGTACAGGTCTAGGTGGTGATGTTACTGATGTCCTCAATAATTTCTAAAATAATTCCCCTTCTCACTTCCACCACACACAACTTCCTCTGGACTTTTTTCTTTCTTTCTTTCTTTTTTTGAGACAGAGTCTTGCTCTGCTGCCCAGGCTGGAGTGCAGTGATGTGATCTCAGCTCACTGCAACCTCCGCCTCCCTGGTTCAAGCGATTCTCCTGCCTCAGCCTCCTGAGTAGCTGGGATTATAGGCACCCACCAGCGTGCCTGACTAAGCTTTGTATTTTTAGTAGAGACAGGGTTTCACCATCTTGGCCAGGCTGGTCTTGAACTCCTGACCTCATGATCCACCCACCTTGGCCTTCCAAAGTGCTGGGATACAGGCATGAGCCACCACGCCTGGCCTCTTTGGCCTCTTTAATAGTTGAAAATGAGCCTGTTCATTAAATACATAATGTACTGGAAATACTGCCCAAGATGGCTTCCAGCAATAGGGCAAGAGAATTAAAGAGAGTGAGTTTCCAGACAGTGGTGGCAAAAGGGCAGTATCTAGCTATATCGCTACTGGATCCAATTTGACCTCTAAACCAAGAACATGTGCACCACAACTCACAATTCCATGTTCCATGGTTGCATGACCTTGGGCAAATCACCTTCTCTCTCTGTGCCTCAGTTTCCTCATCTGTAAAATGGGAATTACATAACTTGTCCTGCCTACCTCAAATGAGTTAATATGCAAGAAAGCACGTTATGAACCCATGCCTACTAATGTGAGTCATTAGCAACATATTCCGGCACTGCTTACTCATTTAAAAAGAAAACCAGATTGGTGTGGTTTTGTTTAAAAAAAAAAAAAAAAAAAAAAAAAAACAGCAGCTCCATAAATGTGTTACACCTCAGCCCTCAAATCTCTTGGCACACACAGTAGCCACATATTTGTAAGGAGCAGTTTTGGATAATCACTGATCCAAGGTTGTACTTCTATAGCATTCAGGGAGACTTGGGGCAGGAGAGGGAGTAAGATCACATCTAGGTTTTCTTCTGACTCCGAGGAATTGCATTCCAGGTTGCCTGGTCAATTCTACTCATTCCCTTACTTCTTAAGGTCTCTTCCCAAAGGTTCTCGTCTTCACAGGGCTTCCTTGATGCAACAAAAAACAGCGTTCCCTCTCCCAGCCCAGTCCTTTTCTCCATAGCACTTACTATTTCACATATTATGACTTTACTTAAATTTCTCTCTCTATCCAATGGAATGTGAGCTCCATGAGATCAAGGAGTTTGTTTGGTCACTATATTCCCCAGCACCTACCAGAGTGGCTGCTATATAGTAGGAGCTTAATTCACTGAGTGGAAGAATGATGCTTCACCATCTTGGTGACCCTTGATATTTCAAGATTAAGTGAAAATAGTGTGAATTAACATATTCAAAAATGTCCAAAGCCACTTTGGGAGCTTTTAAATTTTTCTTTTATGAGGGATTTATAAAAATCAGTTGTGCTTTTGAATTTCTACGTTACCTCTCTCCAAAAAAACCATCCTTAGAAGATCATAAGATATGGCAGCAAAATGTTTGCTGGTGCCTCTTGTCACAAAAGTGCAACACAAATTATATTTAGATGTTCAAATGCTTCTTTTCTTCATTTACTGGGCCCTATTGAAGCTAAAATGCATAGGAGTACCCCACAAAATTCATTCTGCAGTAAAATCTTAGATATTAAATGGTCTCTGCTCTGAATGGAATAGAATAAATTCCCCCAGTGGGGAAATTATTCTTTGGGCTACAATCACAGCAGACACAGCAATATGTAACCCCAGGGGCCAGATGAAACCCTGCCAAGGGCTGAAAGTTTCCCACCCCTGCTCAGCACACTCTGTTTTAGGATACCTCACCCTGCTGCGCATACCTGGCTAATTGGTATCTGTAGCTGTGCCCGTCCCTTTTCAGAATACCAACAATCGAGCCCAAATCTGTGTTCCTCCAGACCCAATTCAAAATTAATGTTGGGGAAGGAGAGAGCTTGCATGTGCCTCTGTGTGCGCAACTCGTGTGTTATTTCACTTTGATAGTTTGCTTTGGCAAACCGCTCCCAGCTTGCAACGTTTTGACAGACTGAAGGCTACCAGGGCCTTTGGCAAACAA